CGTAAATAATCGATTTTGTCATTTAATTTGATGTATTTTATTTTAACCATTGTAATTAAACGTTTATTAGTATAAGTATATCGCTGTAGAGAGGGAAATTTTAAACCTGTTTTCCAGATGATATTAGAAGCCAGAAATTGAAGGCAGTAAGTAAATTAGAATAGGGCTCGGCTCACAGGAATGAGTAAACAATTTGTTAGGTCAGTCGGCGCTAGTTTGCATGTCCTACATACGGATTGAATTGACTCAGCCATTTGAAAGATTAATGGAATGCGCCGGCGATATATCGCAGTCGCTAGTTGACAACGAAAGATTTAAACTCCTGTCGAAAAATGTATTGATCGCCACTGGAAAGCTTGCTGAAAGCTCTACTTTCGGAAACGGTTTCAAATTTTTTGATCATTGGAGAGAGCAGTATGTATGAATAATACCTTTATTGTATACTATAAGATACGAAGATAAGAAACAAAACATAACAAAATATGAAGAGAATCAAAATGTTGAAAACTAACATATTAAAAATCGAGTTTAGTTTTAAAATTATCTACATGGGCGGGACTTGAGCCGGCACCCACAGCTTTCTGTGCTCGAGAGGTGCATTTAACAATAACTAGTTGTGACAGCGACTTCTCCCGCGAGAATTGTTATTTTTGGGAAACCGAATTCATTTTTGCAAACCCCTTCTTTAAAAGCTGTTACCCACGAGGTCGGTCGCGACCCTTCCAGTCGTTCTTGCAAGTTTTCCATTCGAACCCGTAGTTCCTGAGATTTGCGCGTTCAAACAAACAAACAAACGTGTCAGCGACTTTGTCCGCGTAAAATAGTTGTTTTGAGCATTCAAACTTTTGCAAACCTCTACATCTTTACAAATTTAAGCTGCCCACGACATCGGTCGCGTCCGGTCGTTCGGGTCTCGTCGTTCTTGAAAATTAATCTTAAAAGATAGACAAATAGTGTCCGGGAATTTTTTTAGATCACTTAAGGAGGAATCATTCTCTCATACATATTTTTTGGGTATCTTGAAACGTTTTTGCAGCGTACGCCCTTGGCAACCCAAAATGATGAATAAAATACCCAATTTTTGTCCCATTTCTCGCTGTATCTTCGCTCCTATTAGTTACAAGACGATGTTTTATAGCCTATAACTATCTTCGACAAATTCTCTAACCAACACAAAAATAATTTTTCAATTCGAACCCTTCCTGAGATTAGCGCGTTCAAACAAACGAACTCTTCAGCTTTATACATTAGTATAGATATGTATAAATGCAAATAAAACAGTTAAACGCGAAAATAAACTTACTTGATAATGTATTTTAACTACGGCCCGACTGCAGCAACCGGTCGTGGGGAGACACCGTGGTAAAGTGTTTTTTTTAATACGGTACTCGTATTAATTACAGATAGTATTTAAGTTGTATAAATTCGTTCATAATATAAAACTCATAATAACCAATGAGAATTAAGAGAGAAATAGAAAAGAATTAAGCGAAAATTATAGTTTAATGTATATAAACATAATGTAGATATTAATTAAAAAAGGTTGTCTCTACTGCTTCAATGTGTGTAGTACACGAATGATAAACAATAAATAAAATAAATTAATTAATTTTTTGCCTTTAAAATGTTGTATTGTAGTTCTTAATTAAATAATATTTTAACCCGTTCAAAGAAATAATATTTAAGGATAGCAAGCATCCATCGCCAACATCTTAAGCGAGAAACACTGATCTACAGTATTCAAATATCGCATTAACTTTGAAATGTTGCCTTCAGCGATAGGTAAGATGGATAGCGTTATGAATATTCACCATCAATCATTCCGAACATCAATGCCGGAGAATAAAACTGTACAAAAGATAGAACCGCAGCTGCTTACGTGTAAATAAATGAGGTTACTGTGGACTTCTATAAACGCTGAAAATCGCATATAGCAGCGGTAATCTGTTATAATAAATGCAATGTCGTTGTCTCCCTCACACGGTAAAATATCTATGGGGTATAGTTATTCTTTGCATCGTTTCTCAATTTTTTTGCAATCTTGGCCTTGTATATTCATATAAAGCAATCAACACGTATCTAAATTCAGATTAAACGTTTAATTAAAACACTTGAAACAGTTTAAAATGCGATATAATAGATATATTTTAACTTTGAATGTGTACTGCTCTTGTACACTAAAGTTTTCTTTAGAACCAATGAAAACAATAAAAGATAGTAACTACACCTTAATATATTAATAATAATAATCATTAGCTTTTAAAAATTTAACGGTATTCAACAGAGGATATATTCATTATACTCATTTGAAAATGATTTTTTTTGTATATTTTGCATTGTTGTAAATTTGTACCTTCTACCGTAATTCAAATACCGTTACTATACTTTCTTGTTTATACATCTATATTTTATGTGAAAAATTTATGAATTATGTTTTAACTTCAATATAAACATTTCTTTGATAAGGCTTTAAAAATATATGGACATCGCCTATAATGACCTTTAGTAATCTTGACGCGGTATAACGCGTGACGACAGAATCGTTTATAGGCGACCGCACCTTAAAATGATACTAAACGATAAACTGTAATAAGTGGAGCGTATCCATCATCGATACTAAAGAATGTTCCATACATTTTTAATACACTGTGAATCCCCGAGCCGTTCCTCTCATCCCCGTGTCCTAGTTAGAAACAAAGAAATGATGCCGAGCGTTTCGTTTGTGTCTTATTGCTTTCTTTTTAGAACACATTTGTACGTAGATATGGACGATTAAATAAAATCGTTCTTTCGATTCGAATATGTTACTTTTTATTCGGTAGATGTGTATATTATATTACAGCGGGTGATTCGTCCGCGAAAATTTGTTTTTTGATTCAAATTTGTTTTTGAAAACCTCCTTCAACTCTTAACGTAAGGCTACTACCACGTCGACGTCCTCGTTTTTTTAGTTCATTTAAAGAGGAATTATTCTTTTATACATATTTTTGGGGTATCTTGATTCGTTATCCTCGATAAGTGATCTAAACAACACCCAAAAAAATATCTATTTAAACCGGTAGTTTATGAAGTTAGCGCGTTTGAACAAACAAACTGGTTTATATATAAGTATAGATACATTACAACGTTTAGATACATATCAATAGATATGCATATATCTGCATATGTACGCCGCGTTTGCGCAGTTTTAATCTAAATTAATATTGAAAAAGGCGGCAATAGAAACCATGGCTGCACAACGGTTCCAAGTCAATAAGTCCAACCAATACAAAAATAATGTTTTAATTCAAACCACAAGTTTCTAAGATTTGCGCGTTTAAAAAAACGAAATCCTCAGCTATATACATAATATAAGTATAGATAGATAGTATAATTACAAAAATAGTTTAAAATAACCTACTATTTACTTTTAAATAAAATGGGGAGACTCTCCGTGACTACGGCTGCTGCAAAGCATCCGAAACGTCGGGCCGTAGTTAAAAATCATTTTCAAATAATTTTAACTAATATATCGCGTTTTAAACCGTTAAAGTGTTTTATTTAAATGTGTACTACTCGCGTAAACTATAGACTGTCTATGTTTACTATTTACTTAAAAAAAAATTAAAGAACATTTACGTAATTTATTGTTATTTCGATTCAAAAGGATGTTTTGTTCACCGTTTTTCAATCCCTATTCCTATTTCTAGGTAATTTGCGTATACCGAGAGCGAAGCTTTGTAAACAACAAGAAGAATTTGTTAGGAGCTTTTGAAATTAGCTACGTGAATTTTATTTAAGCTTTCCAAAGCCTCGTTAGCTCTTAAGGCTATATTGATTTACTGAAAAAGCCAGAGGGCTTTAATTAGAAATATATCTACGTAGTTGTAACTACGTAATTTGTATCCAAAAATAAAACACTTAAAACAGGAAATGTGTAAGTTGGTTATTAACTATGATCCATTATAATATTTTTAAATCTTTTCAGCAGTCTTGGTAATGGAAAATTTAGGATAGTGCATTTTTTTTCGTAATTAATATTGGCACAGATGTTCATTTTTACTTAACAATGTCTTGGTATTTAAAGTAAAAGTGCTCATTATGCTCTCTAGTTCTTAATATACAATTTTATTAAAATAAATAAATTTATTAAGATATAAGAAAGAACTAAACCAAAGTTATACTTTATACGTTATATTATGGGATAAAAAGCTACTGTATTTGCAAGCTAAAAATTTTGCGCTTAAAGTGTTTATACACTAAATCTTCTTTTCCCCTAAAGTATATCTCGAAACAGAATTAGAATAAAATGAAAACTAAAGTAGAAAAACGAATTATTCAAAATCTTAACTCATTTAATATTACTGTGATGTCACGAAGCCGTTAAATTCACTTATAGCAAAACAAGATTAACAGCGATGTGTATAAGTAATTATGGATTTATCTATGTGTGAATAAAGCAGCGTGGAAAATGAAGCTCGCGCCCGTTTTATCGTGTTTAATCACTGCTTGACAAATGATTCTGCCGACGCCGTTAGACATTTTCCGGAGCTACCATCTGCTCCATCGATCATATTAAGCTGTCGATACATTTGACGTCCCGACTCACGACGCCATGCCGACGCCCTGCAGAACCAATTTCCAAGGAAACCAGCTGCTGATTGTTGGGGAAACAAATTTAAATTTAACGTGGTTGTTGCGGACAATTTTATTTTGCGTTTTATTATCATTAGCTAGTTCCATGCTTATGCTCACTGTTACAATTTATACAAGTGTTTGTTTCGGGATATATGTCTATCGTTTTACGATTAACTTGCAAGAACGCCGGGACCCGAATGATGTCGTGTAACAGCTATAATTAATAAGGACGAGGAGGTATGCAGACCCAAATTTGGATGCCCAAAATATCTCTTTTAGGCGAAGTCGGGCACAGCTAGTGTACATAATGTTTGGCGTACGAAGCAACTTATAAATGCGTTTGATCGTACAAATCCCTTTTCTCCTGCGAATACACCAATACAATGACGAAAAACTCAAGAGTCGAGTATGGTAAAAGCGTTCCGAAAGTGCTCAGGACAATGTCCTTTTTATGGGCTACGTATAGTTACCCTCCATCAAGTGGAGGTGAAGTGCGCGCCGCGGCCCCTGCATTGTCTGTCAAAGGTGACAACGTATTGTGCACTGAGTGCTCTCAAGCGCTTTTTAATTTATAGCAAACTTGTTACGCGAAGAAAGGTGCTGTAATAAGATACGAACGGGGTTGCCTATTGTCTGTCGCTGTAACCATCTTTTACTATGAAACCGAATATTTTTAGAGTACGCTTAAAACAAGATTTAAGTATTTAAACTACTTTAATAACTTTTTTTGTCTTTTTATTTGACAATTGTGAGTTTTTAATCTGTGCCTTCGAAAATGGTTGTTTTAAGAACAATGCAAAAATTAAAATGGATTATAAGTTGTTTCTAATAAATATTAATTGAGCAAATAATTCGACGCTATTATTTCTATCGCGCTAAGTCTGCTACGGAGCTATGCGGCGTAGACAGTGTTCCTACGCTCTAATAATACCCAAGTTATTCCAATTAGCAGTAAAGAATAATAAGAAATATTTTCTATCAGAAAGCTCACATTATTAATTTTTTCAGATGGCAGCTGGAATCCAGGGGATTTGTAAATAATGATCAAAAAATCGGTGAGTCAGATTTATTTCTGTTTGCTATTTATTTTTATTTCAATTTCATCTGAACATTTCGATCATTGTATCTGTTCCACTGACAGATTTATAGGTTTCGCTGGATTTTCAACTATTGAATTTTTAACGCACTTTTTACTCCCGTTAATTGCTTTTATACCTATATAAAACATGTGTTTTACACATTATTTGGATTTACATGATATAGTGCCGTTCTCTATCTGAATTATTATTTTAAATCCGCAAAATTATTACCTAGATGGTCGTTATGATACTACGTTAAATTCCAATGATTATTACTGCATAAACACGTATAATAATAAACAATAGATAACATTATATTTTCGAATATGTTAACTTAAAAACCTAAGTAAACAAATCAAATTGTTATTATCATTCGACTTAACTTCGTCAAATTCTCCCTTTTACATGAATAAAAACTTATTTATTATAGGTATTAAAAGCTTGTAACATATTTTTGATACATTTAATAGCATGGAGCTATACTATTCATTGGGCTGTTATAGTGTTTTATTTTACATTATTAAGTTAATTGTACATTATTATTACATTACATTGTTACATTATTAAGTTAATACAAGCGTATGAGCAATGTACTTATGTCAAATAACTCGATTCAACTCACGGTAAGGACAACGTTATAAAACGTAAACTCGATAATGGAATCGAGTTTAACATCGCAACGTGATAATACGTCGAGGTTGTATCGTTAAAGTGATTATCGTGAAAACGTTACGATGTACCCCACTACGTTGCCACTCGCGAACGCTAAATTACACGCGAAAATGAAAATTAAAGGGCGTTTCATTCGTATTCGTTTGAAAACGTATCTCATTATATGAGATGGAAATAAATTGGAGCTTACTATTTGTCAAACACTCTGGGAGCGTTCCGAACCCACCGATTCAATTTGCGCGAAATTTAATTGAAAATCGAAATTGGAGAGCGAAATAAAAGCCGTTCGCGGGGATTATCCTTCGTTTTGAATAGCTTTTATTATTGCTCTATAGATGTGCAGGACGCAGAAAACTTCTCCTGTAGCGTATTCCTGTAGACAATATTCATCCGAGAGGATCTTAATCTTTCGTCAAAACGGAAAACCAGTTAGTTGGACTCCTTTGTTCGTAGGTCCGTTGTAGTTTTTATGCCCGCTTCAGACTGTCTGGAAATCTAGACAACAATGATGGGAACATTTAATACGCGACTTATGCAATATTTACAATAACAGTGCGACTCACTGATTCCAACTCGTTGCAGTAGAGAAATTTAAATTTGAATTCACATGCATTTATATGATGCGGATTATTTTTTATTCATGTTTGCTAAATTGCATTACATTTTTATTTATGAAGACTGTAAGTCTGTTACTTCAAGGAAGTGAATTATTTCTTTTGATTATTCTCACTGAGACGATGTCTTACGTTTTACGTAGGATAGATGGTATGGTATAAATAAATTAAATTAATCTGCTTAGTAATGTTATATTTATTTAAAGTAAAAAAAGTTTAAATAAAACACTTTAACGGTTTAAAACGCGATATATTAGTTAAACTTATTTGAAAATGATTTTTAACTTCGGCCCGACGTTTCGGATGCTTTGCAGCAGCCGTGGTCACGGGGAGACAACGAAACGTCGGGCCGAAGTTAAAAATCATTTTGAAATAAGTTTAACTAATATATCGCGTTTTAAACCGTTAAAGTATTTTATTTAAATGTGTCCTATTCACGTAAACTATAGACAGTATGTACTGGACATTATTAGGAAATTACTGCCCATCTCTTAACATGTCAAGTACAACAAATTAATAAAAACTTATTTATCTGCGGTAATAGAATTAAAGCATCCATCGTCATGAAATATCATGATGTAGTCGTGAAATCAGACAGTCGGAATGGCCGGCAGCTGTCACCACTGACGAGGGTGCCCCGAATGGCCCTAATTGGAAATCAACGTGACATCCGATAGGGTCTCATATTCAAAGCTTAATACTAATGTTAAATATAACATAGCAACATCATACACTCTACGCGAGAACACTAAATAAAGTGTACATTAAAATTGTGCGATATTTGCTGGTTTTGAATTTTGGGAAATGGGCATTACCTGGGCTAAATAAAAATAATGAAATGAATGATTGATTTGATTTATAAAGATCCGAATATTAAAAACGCGCAGGTTTCAGATAAAATGTTTTTTTTAAATATTTATAATGATATGATCAAGTACCTAATAAGGCTTTCTTTTATTTTTAAAGCAAAAAAAAGTGTTAATACTAACATTGACTGGAAGACAGACCGATACTATACTATAGTGTGTAACTAACTGGACCTAAATTCGATTCTCCGTTAGTCCCGATCAACATGTACATTTACCGCTAGCGTAACAGTGTTGCTTAACTTCATCTTTAGTCCCCCCATGACCACGGCGCATATAAAGCATCCGAACGTTTAAAGTTAAGCTCTTTTATTTAAACCTTTTCACGACCACGACTGGCTACAGTCTACAAACGAAAAGTGTAATAATACCGTTATTAGGCTTTTCTCTTTCTTAACTTAATTGTTATGTTCTAACATAGCTGTGTGCATAAATGAAATACATCTTTAATCAAGTAAACGACAAGTTTCTCTATTCCTATACCATAAAAAAACGCAATGAAACATGAGTAAGACGTGCAGTCTAAAAGATTCACGCATTTTGTATATTTAAACAGGCCGAGACAATAACGGCCTCACAGCGTGGCCTAAAAAGGGATTCAAGCTATGTGTGTGCTTTAAAGAGACTGCAATTGAACAAAACCAGGCATTCAGGTAAACCATTCTTCACAAGTCTTTTTCGAAATAGCGCTACACTTTTACAGCTCTTAGTGAAACGTGCTTTATTTCAGAAACACAGCAAGGTGAGTTACTTAAAGGCTTATATTAAAGCGAGATCCCGTTATTCCACGTGGGGCATGGGGCGATCACATTTCTATGTCCGTTTCACTAAGCGCTTCTATTACAGGCTAGAAGTCCTTAATGAATACAGATAAGATGAGAGTCATAATAATGGCAAGAATGTTGTCGAGATACATATAATACACTATGACGGATATAATAATTTAACTGCTATTATACGTTCCGTGTGCTTTTCAACTTGCGGCCTTTTTAATCGTAACTAATATATATCGCGTTTTCGTCCGTTCAAGTTGTTTAAATTTATAATATTTCCCGCGATAACTTTACATAAAAGATTATAGCTGAGTTGTAGGAGTTACGAATGGTGTAAATGAATGAAACAATTGAACAGCTACATTGGGACTAATGTTGGGAAAAACAGACATTAGTCCCAACGTAACTGAGTCCTTTTCGGAGGGAATTTACTTTATTTTTTTTTATTATTTTATATGTAACTTGTAATTTATTATTATAATTCTTTTTATATTGTGTTTGTTAAATGTCTTATGTTGTATCCGTATAAACGTTCTCTTTTTCTTCGCCAAATTTCTTGTAAATAAAATACTTCAACGGTTTAAAATGCGATATATATAAGTTAAACTTATTTAACAATGATTTTAACTACTGTCCGACGTTTCGGATGTTTTGTAGCAGCCGTGGTCATGGGGAGACTAAACATGGAGGGTGTCTCTGACGTCAAAGTCAATAACTGCTACGCTATCGCCGTCTGTATCGTCGAAGTTGGTATTTGGCGATTTTAAACAGTAAAAGCGTTACATTTAAATGTGTACTACTTGCGTAAACTGTAGACTGTATTTCATTAAAAGCCCTTCTTATCTTAATCTTAAGTATAACACTTCCCAATTGAATTTCTATAGCAAAACAGAATAATGTCGGCCTAATTCGAATCATTGATATAATGCGAGTTCATAAAACATCTTGTTTGTGTAGTTACGAGTACAAAGGCTAGCCCGCCCGTAACATTACCGCGTTCCCGCCAATTCTGGCTCACTTTGTCTCCATTTCTGTCTCCAGGGTCATGGGACGAATGTTATATAGGCGGAGGCCACTTATTTTTATTTGCGTTTCAAATATTTATACCCTCCAAAGTTTGTGCGGTACTCTGTTGGTCGTCAATTTGAGTTCTGACGCAGTCATCGATGTTCACAATGCGATATGCTGTTTAAAATTATTGTCGTAATTACGTACATTATATTGATATATCCTACTTATTTATATATCCACATTTAACCGTTTCGAACTCGAAACGTATAAGTTAAATAATGTTTATCTTAACTAATATATTTCGACAAAGTTAAAATAAAAAAATAAACTTACAAATATATTTCATGTTTTAAACTGTATAAATTTTTTTATTTAAATGTACTACTGGCAACAACTATAGTACACATATTTTAAAACACTTAAACATAGTTTTAATCACAAAACGTACGTTTTCTTTTTTGAATAAAAATATTTTTCGGGTCAACGTCGGGCCGTAGTTAAAATAATTTT